TGAAGAGCAATCATGTTGACCCAATCTACTTTGCAATTAGGAAGCTTGCCAAGAGCATCAATGCTGACTCCTAAATTAGAAAGCTTACCAAGAGCAGCAATGCTGATCAAATCTTTGCCTTGGTAGGCTAACCAGAGAATCGATTTGTTGACAGGGCTAACACTGTGCTTTCTACGATTTCCCAAGACAAAGAGAGTGATTTGTGAGAGCAGGCTCAAAAGAACCATCGCCCTCACATCCAGTGCTCGCCACACATCTGAAACATGGTCTGAAATCACTGGTGGTGGTGTGCGTCTCGCTTTTGATTGTGTAATTGGTAGTGGTAGTGCAATTGGTGACAGTGCTGGTGCAATTGGTGGCAGTGCTACTGCAGTTGGTGGCGGTGGTGGTGCAGTTGGTGGCGTTGGCGGTGGTGCAGTTGATGTCGTTGCAGGTGGTGCAGTTGGTGGCGGCAACGGTGGTGGTGCCTTCGATGGCGGTGGTGGTGCAGTTGGTGGCGCTGGTGGTGTAGTTGGTGGCGTTGGCAGTGGTGCAGTTGATGTCGTTGCAAGCGGTGCAGTTGGTGGCGGCGACGATGGTGGTGCCTTCGGTGGTGGTGGTGGTGCAGTTGGTGGCGGTGGTGGTGTAGTTGGTGGCGTTAGCGGCAGTGGTTGTGCAGTTGGTGGCATTGCAGGCGATGCAGTTGGTGGCTGTGACAATGGTGGTGCATTCGGTGGTGGTGGTGGTGGTGCAGTTGGTGGTGCTGGCGGCGGTGCAGTTGGTGGCGGCAACAGTGGTGGTGCATTATGTGGTGGTGGTGGTGCAGTTGGTGGCGTTGCAGGCGGTGCAGTTGGTGGCGGTGACAATGGTGGCGGTGGTGCAGTTGGTGGCGGTGGTGGTGCAGTTGGTGGCATTGCATGCGGTGCAGTTGGTGGCGGTGGTGCAGTTGGTGGCGGTGACAATGGTGGCGGTGGTGCAGTTGGTGGCAGTGCAGTTGGTGGTGCGGGCGGCGGTGCAGTTGGTGGTGCTAGAGGCGGTGCAGTTGGTGGCAGCAACAGTGGTGCTGCATTCTGTGGAGGTGGTGGTGCAGTTGGTGGCGATGGAGGCAGTGCAGTTGGTGGCGCTGGAGGCAGTGCAATTGGTGGCGGCGGTGGTGGCGCGATTAATGGCAGTTGTGGTGGTGCCATTGGCAGTGGTGCCATTGGCTGTGGTGGTGCCATTGATGGCGGCGGTGGCACAATTGATGGCGGTGGTGGTGGTGTTGGGGCAATTAATGGTGAACATCGTGGCGGCGGTGGTGAAGTTGGTGGCAGTGGT